GCAGCAGGCTCTGCTCCATTTTTGTTGAATCATATATTCACTTGCCAAGCACAGCTCCCAGAGGATTTTATGCCACACTGAAATCCAGAGAGTCTCTCAAGATGGCTCTGGCACTCTCCAGAAATAGCTGGTTTGCCATTCTACCTTCTACTTACAGGAGAGCAACAGGTTTGGGGCTGACCAAGCTCCAACTTCACAGAAATTAATAGGAATTATTTAGCACCATGTGTTCAAAGACAAGATTTCTGTGGTACTGCCTGAAAACTCAGAGATGCTCTTTTCAACCTTCGATTTCACAAGTCTCCCAAAAGCAAATCAGTAAAAAAAATTCATTCTCATTCAGGTTTTTACTAACTGAGGAACTCAATCCTGCTAAACCCAAGACTCAATATATCCAAAAGCAGCAACACCAACACTAACTTGTAAGGCACATGAAACTTAAAACTTCCTATTATTATTTTGAGCCAGCAAAGTCACTTAATAAGCTTATCACCTCAATGGTAAGAGTAATATTTTCTCTCCTGGACTCAGTTTTAAAGAAACAGGAACATGCTGGCCTATCCCTAAATCTGAGGCAGAGCCATTTTCTCTCCACAGGAACACTCAAAGCACGTCACTGTCAGATAAAAAAAAAAAATCTTTCTTCTTGTCACCTCAAAATATTTTCCCACTTGTCAATTATGTTCAACTTTGAGATATCTACCACAAGGTGCATTAAGCTATGACCTGCAAAATACTAAGCACCTGTATACATGTAATAAGAAGGAAGCAGAACAGTTCAAGAGTTGAGCACAGGAAGCTCAGAGCAGACTTAGGACACAATCACTGCTGTTCTCCACATGAACATCTCCAACATTGCTCCCCTGCCCTCGCACAACTGACACACTTGCTGATTACCATGCAAATAAAACTCTACCAGCTTCTCATTCTCTCCATGACTAAGACTCTTCACACAGTTATTTCCTCAAATTCACTGTTCCTCTTCACCTCAGACCAAGATTCTCAGTAAGAGAACTGAGCTTTTGATTTTTAAAGGGTTAAAAAAATAATTTACTGTGTATCTGAGCTTTAAAATAAACAGTAACCTCGTGGGAACTGTTAAGAGTCATGCCGGAAAGAGCAGGTGGGGAATAAGGAGCAGTGAAACTTTACAACATGGTTACCCCACAGCTATGTGGAGAGCTCAGGAAGCAACTCCAAAACACATTTAATTCAATTATTCAGAGCAGTTTATCTTACTCCCTTTCCCATCTCCAACAAAGAGGTGTACCCTTGGATACCTATGTATTTTTGCCTCCCTCCAGACCGACCTCTTGAGGTTTTGGACTCTACACAGCACAACAAGGCACTGAAAGTCACTCAAAGGTTCCACTCCAAGTTAACTTGGTGGTTTACCTTGCTCCAGCTCAGTTTCTGCCTCCTGGAGCATATTTCAACTACTTCCTTATTTTTAAAATGAAATTTTACCAGCCTCAGACACACTGAAAGAAATTAAAGATCCAGAAATACTTCATCAAAACATGTAAAATAGAGTAAAATATTGCGTTGCTTCAAAATTATAGTAAACATTTTGTGTTTAGGAAACTTAAATAAAACTGCAGTTTGTATGAAATATGTCCATATTCAGAAAGAAGCTGGGAATTAGGGATGTTAGCTGAGACAGAAAAAATCAGCATTAAACGACAGCTACGAGGAAAGTAGCTGCTTTTAGTCAAGACTTCAGAAAGCAATAATGTTCTCTCACCCTATGAAGGCTGAATTTAGGCTTGTAATTTTTCAGGGGGTTGAATGCAGTGAGTTGTCTTGATGGACAGGCTGAATTCTGAAGGTTATGAACAGTTGACAGACAATGAATACTTATCCTCAGATCTTTAGCACAAACTAGGAAAATGCTTGCTGAAATTTCACTGAGAGTAATCTGTTTCTGTGTTCCAATAAAATATGCATCATGTTTACATGAAAAAAATAATGTAGTGACTAGCAAAAATATGCAAAAATACAGTAAGGGGAAACCAGAACAGCTTATTTTTACTGATCATAACTGGAAAGAGAAGCCAGAATAATCTGACTGCTCCAGTGCTATTACAGATATTTATCTATAAACACCTGTACACCCAATCAGCTGAACTCCATCTGTTCTGTGTCATTCCCTGCAGCCCATTAAGGAAAACAAACAAACACCAGTTAACAGTGGTGTTGTTTTAAGAGAAAGTGAAGAGAAAAAGTAGCTGCAAGTTTGACTTCAGGATCTGGTCACAAACTCAAAAACTCTATGGCTCAATTTGTAACCAAAGTTCTCAGAAAGTCTCAACAATCGTATCACATGTGGGCTCTGGGTTTGTGGGTTTTTTGTTTTGGTTTGGTTTTTTTGGTGAAAAACAGAGAAATCCCCCTGAATCATCAGTTGACTTAGTGCTGAGATAAGATTGATCTGATCCTCCAAATGTCAGCAGTAGTCTTCTGTGAAACAACTTCACCACCCAACTCAGCACATTTCTCTGGTGTAAAGAACCAGAAAACAACACAGGCACAACACTAAAAGAGCAGAAATGGTGACTTTGAGACAATCACATTGAAAAAAAGAGCTGGACACCAACTCTAGGAAGTTCTCACAGCCTCAGAAAGTTGCTAAAAACCTTCCTACCTCACCCACCACAATCTAAGGGCAGTCAATGCTGGTAGACCAGCAGAAATGCAGGTATAGGATAGAATATAAGTAAAGGCAGCTAGCAAACATCAAAATGCAATCAATGGAGATGGGGAACATACAAGGAGGCCAAACTTCCCTCCCTTGGAACAGAAGGAAGCCTTGCTGCTCTTGGTGCTCCCGCCTGCAGCAAGTACTCACCGGGCGGGCCTGGGGACTCAGGTAGGGTTCAAAGTCATCATCATTCAACCCATCTTTCTGATGGACAGAGCCGTTTTGCACTGAGAAGAGATGGGTAATGTTAGAAAAATCCATGCAATAAACTCCCATTATTATCAGCTTAAAGTATTTAAAGCCAAACCCTAGAATATAATGAACTTCTGCCAATTCTAATACACCACGCTCAGCCCACAACACAGACATTTCACTTTCCCACCGCATAGGCATCACCTGCAAACTATCCATAGCCCAGCAGCCAGGCCTGGTGGGACAGGGTTTATTTCCCTCCCGGCAGGTTTTAGAGAGACCCTCCCTCTCCCGGCGGAGGGATCCTCCCGCTCCCAGCCAGGCCTACCCCGGGATCTCACCTTTGTTGCCTTGGCCCTTGGGTCTCTGGCGCGACAGCAGCGTCGTGGGGAAAGAAAACGGGAAAGCGGTGAGTCAGAGGAACAGACCCGGCCCAATGAGGGTAAGACAGAGCTGGGGTGGGTAAACAGACCCGTCGCGGCGGGGGAAGCCAAGGCCCAGCAGGGATAGACCCGGCACGGGCTGGGTAGAGATCCGGCCTGGCAGGGTCGAGCCCTGCGGGGACAGGCCCGGCCCGGCCGCATCACAATGGATGGCGGCCCTGGGACGGGAGAGGAATGAGGCCGCAGCCGCCGCCCGGCCCGGCCCGGCCCGGGGCGCAACCCCTGTCAGGCCGAGAGGCGCGGCCTCGCCCAGCAGGGCCATCCCGGTATCGGCGGGGGGGACTCCTACCTGCTCCAGAAGGCTGCTAGCCGACATGGCTCCGCGGCGGGGCTGCAGGCGGGGCGGGGCGGGGCGGGAGGCGGCGGCGCTTTGTCCGGGCCCGGCGGGCTCGGGGCGGCCCTGGCGGACTCGGGGCGGCCGCCGGCGGGGCGGGGGTACGCTCTATCCCACCATGTCTACTCAACGACCCCGGCCGCGCGTCTCTAGGACCGGGCCCGCCGCCTCGCGCTCCCCCCGCCCGGTCACGCGGCACCGCGCGCGCCTAGGCACAATGGCGGGAAATGATGGGGAAAGACGGGGGGTGGTGGGGTGGTTAGGGTTAGGGGGCGCAGTGCATGCCGGGACGGCGGAGGACCGGAGCGGGCGGGGGAGCAGCGCCCCCATTCGGCTGGAAGTAGGAGACCTCTTAAAGGGCCAGGTGGTCTCGCTGAAGTTTTAAGGCAAAAAATGGCAAATTCGTGCCCGGCTGCGGGCTCAGCCCAGCCTCATCCTGTCTCGCCGCAACAATTTAGGTCCCCCCATCCCCAGTCCAGCATTCCAGGGTACAGAGGACCCAGGCAACATCGCAGTCTTTTGGGACCCCCACCCAGATAAAAGGGGCTACCTGGGTGTTGGGTGGGCGTACAGCAATCAGGGAGGCCAGAGTCACCCCACTTTCTGGCCAAGAGACACAAACAACTCCAGCAGGGACCAAACAGGATCTGCTGTATACCTGGATTGGGGAAGGGGGTCCCCAAAAGATCCCCAATCCCCTTCAATCAATGACCTGAGGAAGCCAGAGGAGAATGGAAGGAAGGTGGCTGGATATGGAAGGAGGTGGATCCCTGATCCAAAACCATAGAATCTCAGATTTGCTCAGGTTGGAAGAGACCTGAAAACTTACCTTGTTCTACTCCCTGCCATGGCAGGGACACCTTCCACTATTTCAGGTTGCTCCAAGCTCTATCCAACCTGGCCTTGGACACTTCCAGGGATTCAGGGGCAGCCACAGCTGCTCTGGGCACCCCCGCCTCACAGGGAAGAATTCTTTCCCATAACTCCATCTAACCCTGCCCTCTGGCAGTGGGAAGCCATTCTTCCTTGTTCTGTCCCTCCAGGCCCTTGTCCGAAGTTCCTCTCCAGCTCTCTTGGAGCCCCTTAAGGCCCTGGAAGGGGCTCTAAGAGTCTCCACAGAACCTTCTCCAGATCTGTGGGATCTGGCTCCCACAGCCATTCCCACCTCCACCCCAAGCCAGGAAACACTTCCCAGAGGCCAAGATCAGAGCAGAAGCGACCACCCCTCAGAAATCAAGGTTCAGGAATCCCTGCCCATCCCCTGCTGTCCCCAAGGCAATGGAGGCACCGCCTTTCACCTCTTCAATGAAAAAATCCATTGGAGCTTAACTCCGTTTTTCCTTTTAATGCAAAAAAATAGCCAGACACATCTTCCTGCCCTCCCCACACCCTCCGCAGGTGTATTTCCTTTGCTTAATATTTCCAGCCAAGCAGCTCCCAGCCTCCCAAACCTCTGCATCTCTGAAGCCACCTGGTGCTTTTCCCCTCCATTTTCCCAGCGTGGCAAAGCCCAAATGGATCTCCAACCACGGAAAAAAAAGAGGGAAAGTGGGAAAACAGTGGGGTGCACCATATTTCAAGAATGTGCCAGTTCTAACCCTGCCAAGAGATAACAGGAAGAAAGAAGAAAAAATAATACAAAAATAAAACCACCAAACAAGTAGCGACAAGCACGGAGCAGCCTCAGTACACCGTGTAAACAGAAGCTGTCCTGATCCAAAATCTGGCTCTCCCAGAAAGCAATAGCACAACATGCTTTGTACACCCTGAAAGGTCCCTGTGGTGCTGAGCAGCCAAGGGGGATGATCTGAGTTTGAGCTTGAGTTAATATTTTTTGCCTTATACAAAATGCTGAAGTGATCTTGGAGTCTTCAAGCAGTGTTCGCATCACCAAATCTTACCAGGCAGGGAAAGGGATGGGGGAAAAGTGCCATGGGAAGAGGAGGGATTGGGATACAGGGACCCTGAGAGAAGGTCCCATGGTTTTGCAGCTGAGAGCTCTGGACAAGGGAAGGGAGAGAGCAAACAAATACAAAAAGATAGAGATATAAAAACAATTTTGTGTGGAGGAGGAGAATATGGACAGTAAATTCATTGTACTGTCAGCCTCCCCAAAGAAAGAAAAATAATAAAAGAATTCCATTTGAGGTGACAATTAAGGGTCTGACAGAATTCCCTTTCCCTGGGGAAAATAAAAATACAAATGAGGTACCTGTTCCACCCCAAATCTGTCACCCCTTCTCACAGCCACATCCACACTCAAGTGTTATTGTCTCTCAAATAAAGTCTCCGGGCCAGGGCAGCCCTGGAGCAGAAGCACTGAGGCATGGCTAGTTCCTCCTGGTTGGGTTGTCCAGCAGAGATCCAGTCTCTCCTTCACCCTGCCACAAGCGGTATTGTTCAGTGCTCAATGGAGACGGAGCCTTATCCAAGTCTCACGTGTTTCTCCAGCTTTGTTTTATAAAAAAAAAAAAAAAAATATATATATATATATATATATATATATATATATATATATATATATATATATATATATAAAATATACAGTACAATGAAAATATCCATAGTAATAAATGGGGTGGCTGGAAAAGACACTTAACAAAAAAGCCTGAAATAAAACAAATTCCCAGCTCTTCCCCTAACCGATGCTTGCCTTCCCCATTAGTCTTCCAAGACCACAATCTCCACATTATGGACCTGGTGCTGATGGTCTTCCACATCTCCCACCACTTTCTCCTCAGTCCTCAGCTCTGTCTCCAGGATCACAGCTTTGCCCTCTGATTCATCTGTGTCTGCCTCAGGATCTGGCGCCGGGTCGATCTCTATGATGGTCTGCCCATCGTCCGAGGTGCTTTCCACAGCTTGGATGGTGGAAGTGATGCCAGACTCCATGGCCACCAGTTCCACAGGGTTGACCATGGTTGCCACATTCGCCAGGGCCCCAGTGTCCTGCATGGCTGCTGAGCTCAGCAGTGCCAGGCTGGAGGACGGGTGCAGGGTAACGGTGTCCGAGGAACTGGTCTTGGAGGATGAAACCACGGTGGCATATCGGAAGAGCTGGGAGCCAGATGGCAAGGTATGAACAGTCACTGGGCTGGAGCCTTGGCTGAGGGTTGCCACTGGGATGTTGCCCACTGAGAACTGTTGTCCAACGGGTGCGATGGTGATGGGGGAGATGACAGTGAACTGAGGCTGCTGGATTGGGGTGGAGGGGCTAAGGATGGTAGCGGAGGCTGGGCGCTGCAGACGGGGTCTCTTGGGAGGCTTGGGAGTGCTCATAGGCATCAGCACCACATTCTGGATAGTTTGGGACTTGGCCTTCTGGTCCTTGGCAAGTTTCTTCTGTTCTTCCAGCTGCCGCTCCAGGTCTGCATAGGGAATGATTGAGCAACATGTCACACCAGGGTAAGTAGCCGCTCTTGGGGCTCCAGAACCAACCATCACTCCCAGGTTTGTGACAGGAGGTCACCCAACCACCCAGTGAGCCTGATCATGGCTTCTCCCTCAAGATCAAATGGCACTGAAGGAAAAGGGTAGGTTTTTCTGCCACCTACATAGACCCAGTCAATGTACCAGCTGCCAGCACCCGGGTAAGACATAGGTTACATTCCACACATGTTGGCTATTCCTACTGACAAGGCAATGGACATTTCTGCTCCCACAAGCTAAACCTGCCTGCAAGGGAGAGTGAATAAACCCCCCCAGGCAGTTCAAATTGCTTCCTGAGCTTGGCTGGGTCATCTCCCCAGGAGCCAAGCACCTGCACTGGGGACAGCCAGCAGGATGCCTGGGTCAATGAAACATCTCCCTCAACACTTATCAGTAGGAACACTGGGAGCCAAAGTAGCACAGTGACCTCATTTATCCAGGGCAATAGGGGACTAGAACATCTCAGATACCAACAGATCCTACAGTACATGGTGAGGAAGGAGACACATCCAGTGAGGAGCTCTGGGGATCCCAGGTCAGTCAGTGGCTTCAGCTCAGGGTAAGCTGAGCAGGACATCCAATAGCACCATAAGACAAGCACATAGCCCTGATAGCCAAGACAAGCAGAAGCTCAGCACCCCATACTCAGAGAGGCTTATTAGCTTGGGTATAGCACAACACTGTCCACAGCTCAGGTGACCATGGCACAGCACTGAGCTGGCAGGTCCTGTCCCTAATTCTGAGGGAATTGGACTCATGCCTGCAGCACCCCAACTGCAGCAAAGGGCACAGACTTTGGGCTGTCCAACGTCCCAAGCAACTGCTCTCTGTGAGACAGGGGAGAGAGGAAATTACATTCAAGTGCTAGGACAGAAAGGGATTGGGATGCACTTGTTTTGGGGCAGCCTGTACTGAACACTAACCCTAATTAACTGGGGAAAAGGAAAGTCATGTCCATTCCCAAGAGTAGCAGCAGGATGTGAACTCTTGTTAGGCACTTTACCTGCCAGTGTGTAAAGAAACTGTTCCTCTCCTTGCTCTGTCTGGTTTTTCCTGTTGTCCAGTACCTTCTTGACTGTGTCCATTAAGCCAAATGTATGGGCGACATTGTTCAGGACTGCAGCATCTCCAAGGAAAGGGCACAGGGACGTTAAGACTTGAGCACTCAAAAGATGCTCCTGTTACACCAAAAAATTTTTACTGCTTTTTAAAACACTCTCTGTTCTTTCAGAAGGGCTAGCTAAAAAAAAGGCAACTCAACCCCCTCATCCTTCTGACATGCCAGGATTAAATAATCCCATTCACATGATAAAGCAAATTGGACATAGCTGTGTCACTCAAGCAGCTCCTAACTGCTGCAAATGAAAGTGTAATTTGCAACCACAGAGATACAAACGAGCTCTCCACCTACAAATCATCACCCCATGCTCCTGACAGTGTCATTAACATGCCAAGCTCCACTGAAAGCTGTGCAAAATGTCTGTTACAATCCACTGACTTTCATCACTCGCAATTCCCAAAACCTGACACCTACCAGACACAAAAATGTGCCAGCCCAAAGTTAAATTAGAAAATTTAAAAAAAAAAAATAACCTGGGTAAAATGAAGTTTGTGGCTACATGGATGTTCTCCCAGGAAGAGCATCAACAAGAGGTGTTCACAGGGGCATGTGCTGAACCAGATTAGGGAGCCTGTTACAAATTAAAAATAACCCTGAAAAGGGAAGGGGATTTAATTTTAACCCAGATAATTTCCCTCATCTGGTTCAGCCCCCCAAAACAGGTTTTCTGGAACCAGTGAAAGCAGAACAAGAAGTGAGGGGGCAGGACCTGTTTAGGCCTGCAGTGTCACAGAGAAGTGTTTGAGTAACTCCAGTTGAAGTGACTCTGGGAAAGCTTCCATCAGGGCTGGGAGCTGTGGACAGTCATCTGATGGTCTGAGCAAGCTGCCAGGGTCACTTTGCTCAGGGAACAGGATGGAATGGTGCATACTTGTGCTTTGAAGCAGACACTTCACAGCTGAGCAGGCTGAGTACACAGACAATGCTCCCACAACTCAGCAAATGATTGGAACTTGCTCCCCATCCTGACTCACCAGCTTCACATGGTGGAATGGACTCTTAGCACTGTTGGTTTTTTTTTTTGCCTGGAACTGCCCTTTTGAGGCTTCTTCCTCACAACCTACCTGTCATCTGGAAGGGAGCCTGACCCAACCGCTGCTGCACACCTCTTAGGACTTCTTCTATTTCCTTTTGGATGTTGCACACTACCTCTTCCATCAGCCCCACATCAGCTATTCCTTTCCAGAACATCAGCGTGTCCTCTGGCACAAAAGAGGAGGAAAAGAAGTCAATATATACAAGCATTTGGCATTTTTCCCACAGGGCAACCTTAAACTTCTCAGGCAAGCGTATCTTTTCAAGGTGACTACCTTTGCAAGGTAGCTTGGCTACTGGGGTGGACAGGACGTGAAAAAAATAACCAACCCCAAACCAAGCCAAATGGACTCAGGCAGCAAATCAGGGACAGGTTTTTAAGCAAGTCCATTAATTCTAAGGCAGCTTTTCACATTTTTGCAAGGTGCAGAGCTTAAAATAATTATTTGAGAACATTCTAACTAAGCTTCCATACTGATACAACAAAGGGATGGAAGGCCAGAGAGACACGGAACAGACAGTTGACAGGGAACAAACATTACTCTACTCTTTGTTGGTTCCAGCCTAGCTCCAGGCTGGCAGATGTGTTTCAGATCCTTGGAATAAAACAGAAAAGCCTTTCACTGTAACAAGTAATATCTGATCTGAGGGATTATCCATCAGTCATGAGGCCAGGGCCAAAGTCCTACAGTGATAAGGAGCTCCATTGGCAGAAAGCCTGGATGCCTGGGTAATGCTGGAGATCCAAGGGGCTGAGGGACGGCTTTGTCATTGCCCAAACTTTACTTATTTGCAAGATTTAGGTTTCCAAAATGTAACAGGGGAGGAGAGGGGGAAAAAACACCCAACAAGCAGCCAAAGCTTACCTGAAATCTCATCCATGTCCTTTTTCATGCCTTCCTCAGTGGCCATGGTGACAGCAGCTGTCAGAGCCGAGTTCCACTCTATCCCCTCCTCCATACTCTCCTCTGACAGCGCAATCTGGGTGATGCTCCCTGCCAGAAAGCCCTCATCAGCTCCCTCTGATAGCCTGAATCCCTGCTTTGCTTCCTAACCCCTCAGTTCTCTCCAGGCTCTCTTTCACTCTTTGGGTCGGGTTTGTGCTTGGCTTCTTTCAACCAAACCAGTTAAAAGCAAATATTGCTGCTTCTCATTGGAACTGTGACTGTGAAAAGCTCTGGAGCTTCTGAAGGGAAAACCATATGCCTTGCACAGTGGAGTCCCAGCTCAAGGGAGCAGAAAGGGAGCAGAATAAAGAAGGGAACTCATAAGGCTCAGCCCAGCCACCCTTCTCCCCTTGCATCATCCACAGGAAGCTCTGCACCCCTAATTCCTCATGAAATGGAGCTGGGGTCCCAGCTGTTTTATAAAAGGGAAATGGATCTGATGCAATTCTAAGTTTCTGGATCAAATTTGGGACTAACTACAGTGCAGCCACTGTAAGTTGGCTATGGTGCTTTCCAAGAGATTCTCCTTAGCCTATGGACAATTCTGCCATGTCACCCACCCAGGGGCTCAGAGAAACGTAACCCACCCAGCTTAACAATGTGGTACAGTTGGGAACAGTCTTCTCCCTTAACCTCAGCAAAGAGATCAATATCTGCTCTGGAGCACAGGATCACTGAGAACTTGCAGCTGGAATAACAATCAAATCATGTCCAACCACCACATCCTGTTCATGGATGTTCTGAAGAAGGACATAATTTCTAAATTCACCCCTAAGACCAACTCATGCCTTTATAACAGACTCCCAAATGGGAAATATATCAGAAAATGCTGTGTTTGCTCCCATGAGGATCCCAGAACAAAGACGCCTACAAGACTCTCAATTCTTCTCTGGGCTATGAAGGCTGCCTCTCTGGAAAGCAGCTTCTTGATGCCAGCTGTTTTCCAACCTTCACAGTCCCACAGAGCAGAGCTCCCCGACAGATGCTGCCAAGGCTTCTCCAAACAGACATAAGAAGCATTTTCCTTCCCAGAAACCAGATCAATCTCCTGGTGGGACTGCCCTGATGTGCCCAGGAGGAAGGTGTAAAGTGTGTGTGGGAGGGAGAGGAGCATCAGAGGGAAGTTCCCACGGCATTGGTAACTGGTTTCCTACCATCAGCTGAGGTTGGAGTCTGCACCACGCTCTGCTGCCCTGGCACTGGTGCTCTGGCACTACTGATCAGGAGATCAAACTTGGTGCTTCGACAGGTGTTGGTACAAACTTTGTCATGCTGGTAGAAGTCAATCTGCCCAGAATCCATCATTTTCCTGTGCAGGGAGTAGGGATAGAATCAGGCTCAGCTAAAATCTCAGCCTAGAGACAAAAGGGAGTATTCCACCTGGGAATGCTATGGTCATGGGAAGGAAAGAGAAAGGGACATACTAGGGCCACTCTGCACCCAAAAAATCTCCTGCAAGGCTTTCAAATGGCAAGCACAAGAGACCTCCAGCTTCACACACATGTTTTCAGTCCTGTTCCACCCCAGGTTCCCCAGGCAATGCCACTTCTGTCGAGGGTGAGGGATCCTGACCCTCACATCATGGAGCCAGAATCTCTGCAGGCTGCTGGCCCAGGTACTGTGGGCCTCCATGGGGACTGCAAGGCAGACAAAATGCCTGCTGGGGGTCCTGCAGCTGCAGGGGTGGAGCTCTGAAGTTGGACAGGGGTCAAATACCTTAGCATGATTCCTCCGAGACGAATGGCTCTCTTCCAATCCTTCAGGGTAGACTTCCCAGCCAGGTGAACAAAGTGCTTTGGGCTAATCAGTTGGTCATTGAACTGGTAATGAGACAAGCAAAGGTTCAGCAAACAGGGAGGATTGGGACACCCAACACAGTTCATCTGAGCCCCCACTTCCACCCAGAGAGAAGAGCTGCTTCTCAGATCCCTGCCAGCTTTGATCCCCTGGGCACAGCAATGCTCACAGATCTAGGCATTCACAGCCCTAACCAAAAACAGCCCTGAAGACTTCATATGAACAAAATCATCTCCTATGAACATGTATGGTCATTTTGGAGATCATTACAGGAGATTTCTGTTACATCCAATGGCCCAGCAGCATCCAGCTGCCACAGGTCTTCCCTTGAGCATCCATTCTGCCCTGCTCCAGTGACTTGAGTAGTTCCTGCTGAGGGGCAGGAGCACAAGGGGCTTGGCTGTCACACTGCCATGGTCTCAGGTGGGAAAAGGTAACACCTTCTCAATGCAACCTGCTTGACAAGGAAGTGAAAGGAGTGAAGTACCAGGACACTGAGGAAAAGGGAGGAGGCAAAGCTCTGCCAGATCTCAACACATATATCTTGCCTGCCTTCAGTCCTTCTTCAAGGGCCAATACCACTGAAATACAAAATGGGTGATATCCTTCCCTCCTTAATCCACTCTTTCCATGCTTCTCCCCATCAAGAAAACAACCTTGGCACCAACAATCCAAGGACTCAGGATGAAACACAAAATCTAAGGAATTCCTATGGAGGCCAACCAGCACACCTGAAAAGCAGAAAGGAATCCACTGGGAGTTTCTCCTTTACCTTCACACACTTGACATTAATTCCTGGACAGACAAACTTCTTCCAGAGAAGGATGGCTTTGCTCTCCCCACAGGTGATGGGATAGGCGATCTCAATTTCCTCACTCGTTTCAAGGGTGCTGGGGTCTGAGGGAGGAACAGCTCAAAGTGAAACTTTCCACCAAGAGGCTCCAATCCCACAAGGCAGGAGCTGGAAGCTGATAGGTTATGAGACCTGCACTTGGGAAACCAAAAAAAAGGGCAGATCCCAGTTCAGGATCAGTCCTCTCCATCTTCTCAGAGTTAGTTCAGATTAACTCTAACAGCAACTGGCATCTGCTTTTTGGTGTAACAATGCTCCAAATAAAGCTTATCTATAAGGAAACATGAAATCAGAAATCAAATGCATCTGTAAGGTGGGGAGGAATGAGAACAATCTTAGTGGCAACAAAATGGTTTAAAATTTGAACCACAGATATCTCTCAGATTCTTGCAGCTCTGGTATCTCTTTAGCAATTATATCAGATATTTACTGATAATATATTCTCTTCATGTGCAGAGTTTCTGCTAATACTGCCAAAAGACTCAAATCAACCCAGGAGGCAGAACTCTACTCAAGATCTAGTGACAGCATTCGGTGATAGGAGCCTTTTCCCACACACTGCTCTGGATGGGAGAGAGCAGTTGGAGCCAACCTGCTCTGTTCTTATGAACATCCAATCCAAACCATCAGATGGCTGGTTCAGAGAAGACCCCACAACCAGAGCCTGATGCTTCAGCCACCACATCCTCAGCACCATCATTCCTGCTGCCAGTCTCTGGACATAGGACTAGGGTGACATCCCGGCTCCCCTGGATCCCATGGGAACCCTTACCATTCATTGAAGGAGAGCCAGGATCTCACTTCCAGGACTTTGAGACCAAGTAGTAACAGCAGACTTTTATTCCAGAGTATGCCCAGCCCCTTTACCCACATCCATGCCTGGGAATCAGCATCTGCAGGGGCAGAGCCAAAAGGAAGCCCAGTGAACTGGAGACACCAGCCCTGCACAGGAGGGGATTCATTGGTGGGAACTCACCAATCCCTTCTTCCAGCTTGTGGATGGTGTGGGTTTCCACGGCCACCACAGCGGCGCTGGCCTCGGAGCCCTCTTGGTAAATCCTGTGGTGAAAGTGGCCATCCAAAAACAAACTATATAAATCATGGGAAATTAGGATTCACAGCACAGGGTTAAAAAATTCAGTAAATTTTCTTTTTGCCTGACCTCAAGGGACATTAATTTTGTCTGATACCATTTCAATCACCAGGAATTTTTTGGCGAACACTAATAAAACAAAACACTAGTAATCCCAAGGGCTGGCAGACACAGAGGCATTCCCAGTGCTGTCATCTCACCCTCCACTCTGCCAGCGTCATTGAGGCAGCTCTGCAGGCTTCCCTGTGCCTTTTCCTCTGCTTTCAGTCACCCTCGACAACAGGAACCAGAGCCCAGACAGTGTCCCAAGATTTCCCTTTGAGCCCTGTGTAACACTGCCATACAGATGACCACAAAGGGAAGTCACTGTCAGGCCCACAGCCACCCTGCCCTCAAACTAGAGCCATTTTTTCCATCCTGATTGGTCCAGAGTGAAGATGAAGCCACTCTCTGCAGCAGCTACCAGGGAGCTACAAAATTCCCTCCACATCCCAGCCCCATCTTCTTTATTTTAGAAGAGGATTATTTTAGGGGAGAGCTGGCACAGAGGCACATTAAGGTTTGAACACACAGACCACTGCATCCAATGGTTGTAGTATGGCAAAAACCAACCCTGGGACTGGAGAAGGAAAAGAGAGTCTGGGACAGCACTCTTCCACGATTCACGAGCACTGCACCAACCCAGCCTCACAGGACAATTTCAGGCCTCGGAGGCCCCATGAAAACCACACACATAAAAGATTTAATCTGTTGTATTTTCTCTCTCCCCTGCTTGGCACAAAACTGACATAGACCTGGAAAACACAGTGACGCTCAGTCCCATGAAAACCCACAGGGCTCCCCCCCATCCCACCTTGCACCTCCCAGGTAGTACCATCCTACTCACCCTTGCTGCACTGGCTGGAGCTGCAAGATCACTTGGGTTTTGGTATCCTCCGGGTTCTCCCCTTCATTGCCATCACTTGGTACAACCACCACATCACCCACAGGGACGCTCACCTCGGCATTCGCCATCTCTCACATGAACCCGGCAAGGTTTTTTCCTCCCTGTAGATCACAAGAGCTGGGAATAGATCTCAGAGGCAGATCACCCTGGTATCATCCCACTCATAACTTCCTGAGCCAGCAGCTCTCTCCAGTTCTGAACCCCCAACTTGGCACCAAGGAACAGACCCACATTGGTGTGTTTTGGCAAGAGTGTGTTTTCAACACAGAGTTTCTCTCACTGGCCCTGGCCAGTGTTTCCAGCCACCCCTGGCATGCTCTGATCCCTCACTAACAGGAACATGCCTGTGGATGATCCTTCCCAGTAGAAGCTGGTGTCAAGGTGTGGTGCTAATGCAGGAAGACCTGACAGGGAGTCCCGAAGAAGCTGCACTCCCAGAGGACGTGCCTATGATTGTGCATGAGGCACAGAGGTGGTCTGGTTAGAGTTTGCAGCTGGAGGTCATCCCTGCAAGCCTGAGGTCTACAAGCTGCTGGGAAAACCAGTCTCAGAATCATGGAATGGTTCAAGTGAGAAGGAACCTGAAAGCTCATCTCATCCCACCTCCTGCCATGGGTAGGGACACCTTCCACTTGACCAGCTGGTTCCAAGCCCCATCCTGCCTGGCCTTGGATGGTTCCAGGGATGGGGCAGCCAGCTTCTCTGGGCAACCTATGCCAGGGCCTCACTACCCTCACAGAGAACAATTTTTTCTCAATATCCCATCTAAATCTCAGATGGGTGAATTTCAGGTCAGAATCTCCTGGTGAGTGAAGGGGTTTCAACATCCCGTAGTTGGGATACACCAAGACAAACCTGGTGAGCCGACGACACAGGGACCACGCGCCCACCCGGCTCCAGGAATGGGACTCCCGTGGTTTCCCGCGCCTCATCCCGCTCCGGGGGACAAACAGAGCCACCCGGGACCCTCGAGAGACGGCAGAGCTTCGCCAGGATATCTGGCGCGGGGAGGGGGGGGGGGGGTCAATAGGACACGGACAAATAGCGGCGGCGATCACGCCGAGGCCTGCAGTGAGAAGCGGGGGGAGCTACAGAGGGGAGCCCGCGGCCCCCGCCGGGTCCCCGCGCTGCCGCTCGGGGGTCGAGAGGTCATGTGACATGGGACCCGCGGGACCACCCCGCGGCGCGCGCGGCGCGACGGGGCGTGGCCTGCCCGGGGGAGGGGGCGTGGCCTCGGCCCCCCTCCCTACGGCGCTGGCTGCCCCCCCGCTACCCCCCCATCCCGAGCGGCGCGCGCGCGACGCCCGCCCTTGCGGCAGCGGCGGCGGCACGTACGGCGGCGACCCCTCCCTCCCCTCTCGGCGGGGCCAGGCCCCCTCCCGCCCCGCCCCGCCCCTTCGCGCCGCATGGCCCCTCCCGGCCCCCATAGCGCGGCGGCAGCTGGGCCTTACCGTCGGCGAGCGGCCGAGACCGGGGGCTGTGGGACGGGGGAACGGGGGGATGGGGAGGGGGGAGGCGGGCCGGGCAGCAGCAACGCATGCGCAGTGCCCGCCGCGGCCTCGGCCGCCAGCACTTCCGGCCGCCGCCTGCCTTAAAGGGGCCGAGCGGTGAAGCACGCAGCGCTGTGCTGCTCCCTGGTGGCCGCCAGCAGTATCGCCTTCGCGGCGTCACCCGCCAGCCCACAGCCACGAGTTACCGGCGGGAGTGTCACGGCGAGGTTCGCTCCCCCCGGTCACAGCAGCGAATCGTGGAACGCGCTACCAGGCATCTCCCGCCCCGCCCCACGCCAGCCCCGGCGGGACCACCGGGACCTCCCCCGGCCGGCCGTCCCGCCAAATCCCCCACTGCCCCCGCCGTGCGTGCCGGTCGACTGACAACGAGGAAGACCAATGGTAACGCGGGGTCGGGCGGCGACAGCCAATGGGCGCGGTAGGATGAAGGGAGGCGGGGCCGGGAGACAGCGCTGCGGAGCCGCGGTGGGGCCGGGCGGCGGCGGCGGCGGGAGCAAGGAGGATGCGGGCGGGCGGCGGGGCGGCCCCGGGGGCGCTGGCGCTGGTGCTGGTCCTAGTCTGCCGCTGCCTCCTGCTCAGCCCTTTGGGTCTGCACTCGGCCGGCGCACAGGATGGTGAGTGCTGATTGCGGAGCACCGGCGGCGGGACATCTCACCCCGGGACGCGGTACCGGGAACTCCGCTCCCACCAGTACCTCCGGAGCTTCTGCTTCGCTCGCCGGGATGAGACCGGAACTTGGTGTGGTATGGGGACTGGGAAGGAGGACTGGACGGGCTCGCCTCTGCCCCGGGATGGTTCGGGACGGGCTCTTCGCGGTGTCTGGACTGGGATCGAATCAGGATGGGCTCCTGGTAACGGTTCCCTGCTGTTACCAGGGCAGACCACACCGGCACAGGGTCGTCATGGTGCGCCTGCCCCGGTTCTTTTCCGGAACGGGATCTCTGCCATCCCTCTGTCCCGGTACCGACCCGGGACAGGGTCCCTGCCATCCCTTTGCTCCGGTACCGACCGAAACGGAATCCTCGCCATCCCTCTGTCTCGGTACCGGACTGGACGGGGTCCCCGCCGTCTGTCTGTCCTGTTCCGGGACGGGGTCCCCAGTATCCCTCTGCTCCGGTACCGGACGGGACGAGCTCTGTCCCTGCTCCCACCACCCCCGCCGGTCCTGCACCCGCCCATTTTCCCCGCAGCCCCCCCCCCAGCTCCCTCTGTCTCTGTCCACGGTGGCGACTACGCCTGGGGTCCCTAGAGTCCCGCGTTCGGCTCCATCCTGCCTGCAGGGCTTTCCCAGGGAACCCCTAATCCCCGGGTTAAGAGGATTGCTGGAGTTCACAGGCAGAGCCGGGCACTGGGCTCCATCCCGGGAATGCTGTTCTTGGGAGGATTTGTAGCCGCAGCATCCAGGACGATCCCAAAGTTCGTGTTTCCCGATGTCACTCGTCCCCAACTCATCCAAGAGCGAGGAAACAAAGAGCTACAGGTCAAGCAAAGCATTATTTTCCCCGAGGGGAAACTGAGGCACGGGGACAAGCTGGGATCACTGGAGGTAGAATCCCCCTACGTTCCCGGTCAAAAAGTGTGATTTGGGGCACATCATGCAACGGGTTTCCACCGGATACCAAAGCCACTGGTGGATGCGGGGGAGTTTTCCCGGGGCCAGCAGCATGACAGAGGCAGGGGTGTGCCGGGATTTTGTCGGAGCATTGCCCTGTTGTGTCTTTCTTGCATCCTGTGAGAAAACAAACAAATCCCTGGCAGGAATGATCCCAGCGGGGTCCGGCCGTGAGTTCACCCTCGCCCACCGGAAATCCAGTTTTCACATTTTTTGGGAGGGGAGTAAAGTTTACATGGCTGGGGGCAAGTGCCCTGTGGCTGTCTTGGCTGTTCCTGGCCCCTCGGTACTATCTTTGGCGCCAACTTCCCAGGAGTGCCCACAGCTCTGTGCTTATCTCTGACATTCCCTCCTGGCACGTGCTGGTCACACTCCGGATGTTTTTAACAAAGCTTTCCTTTCCTTGGATGAGTTTTTCCCGGAGTGGGTCCCCACAGCTCCTCTGTACCACCAGTACGGATATAGAGCTAGGGGGATCCATCCAAGACCCCCAACTGGGCTCACATATCCAGCTGTCCTGGCCATAGAGGGTTTTCGATACAGATTCCAGCGGGTTCAACTTTCTGTGCTAGAAACTCCCCCTAAATACCCCAAATTTCTCTCCTGCAGCAGAGCACCCCTTCTGGAAGCTATTGTCCTGGCAGCCCTGGGATCTCTGCTGCCCTCCCCTGCCATCCCCTGCTCTTGGAGGGCCTGATCCTTCCTAGCTCTGCTCTGTCAGCAGACACTGCCCAGAAAGGGGAAAAGTTGGTGATTTTTCCCAGTCCCACAGGATAAACCTCCCCCCAGTTTGGATGCAAGCCCTTCCCACAGTCTAGGGAGGAGGGGACTCTGCGCGGGGGCTGGCATCTTTCACCATCAGCCTTCCCGTTTTTTATCCCTGCAGGATTTTATTTTCCCTTGCTGGTGCTTTGTGTCATCTCCCAGTGACAGTGAGGGAAGCCAAGGCTGGGCAAATCTATGCCTGCCATCACTTTTCTTTCTGGCTGTGCCAGGATGATGCTTGGCAGGAGCAACAGGTTTTAGAGCATGTGAGGAGGAGGTGTTGAGCACTGGACCCAGACAAACGCCTGGCCCACACAATGGGGGCTAAGTGGTGCTTTCCCACTTTCCCTGCACCCCAATCCTGCCCAGAAATTATGACCAGGTCTCAATGCCTGGTGCTTTCAGCTTATTTCCAGGATATTCCCTCATGCCCAGAGGCAGTGAGCTCAGAGAAAAGCCCCTTTTGTGGTGGGTCTGGCATCTGGCATATTCTCCCTATCCATAACATTGTTTCTTGCCTGGGAAGGAGGCAATGGGGATGCAGCTGCCCAAGGTTATCCTCAAGGTCAAGGCTGCAGTTAGGGGGTCCTGGGGGCTGCCTAGTTCTGTATGGCTGCATGGAGTAGGGATATTCTCTCCTTGAATCTTTTTATATCCCCCCAAACTAAGGTTCTCCTCTACTGGAGGATGTAGAGGAGCTGGAGATAGAGGGTCATGCTGGGTGGCTGTGGGGGGAGCTATGGCAGCTTCATCCCTGGATCCCCCTGTGGACAGTTCCCACTGCCAGGAGCGTTCAGAAAAACCACCAGAAAATTATGCTTTGGATGAGGAAAACATCTGAAGAGGCTGCATGTGCCCAGGGGTTGTTCTGGGGGCCTCACCAAGTGGGGAAACTGAGGCAAGGAACAGCCTGCCTGAGCAGCCTCCCCGGTGTCTCTGCAGGAAACGGCTGTGGCCACACACTGCTGACACCCCACAGTGGCACCCTGAGCTCCAAGAATTACCCGGGCACATATCCCAACCACACCATGTGTTGCTGGCGGCTCCAAGCCCCCCCAGGTACCTCCCTACTCCTGGCATTCGGAGATGTGGATCTGGAGCCCTCAGAGCACTGTGCCCACAGCTCCTTGCTGCTCACTGACCCCCAGACTGGCACTGTTTACGGTAAGGGGGTTCTGGGGGAACTGAGGCAAGGGTGATACAATGTTGTGGACAGGGAGAATATCAGGAAAATCTGGGGTTTTAGCTGATTTCATCATGGGAAGGGAGAATATCTAAGGAGGGGGGTAACCAAGTGGGGCAGTAGCCAAGGACAGGGGTATTGAAGGAGGGGGTATCCAAGGAGAGGAATATCAGAGGATTAGAGGATTAGTGGTATCCAGTAGCTGACGAGTGGGTTATCCAAAGAAGAGAAATATACCAGAATGGGGATACCTGAGGAGTGGGGCTACCCAAATAGAAGGGTTGATATCCAAGGAGGAGGATATTGAAGGAGAGTAATATTTGCAAATGGGGATATCTGAGGAGGTGGGTACCCAAGGAGATGGTTATTGCAAAGCCTTGGGGGGGGAACTGCCCAGCTGGGACCAGATGCAGCCACGGAATAATTAATTTGTTGGCCCAGCTAACGGTTCTTGGATTTTCCCAGACAGATTTAATGGTCTTGGAGGGATTTGGCAGCACTGGAAACATGACAAATGCCGAGGAAAACATCTGGGGGTCGGGGGAAGCATCAAGTGATGGGGTGGGGTAGAAGAGCAGCCCTGGTGAGGAGCAGGAACTGGACAGGAGATGCAATGGGAAATGAAGAATGGAAAGGAGCTGGCTTGTATCCATGGGACTGGGAGTTTTCCCTGTTCTTCAGGGCTTTCACCCTTTCTGGGCTGGTCCCCAAATGGGTTACAGCACGCAAGGTCCCTGGTCCCCATCCCCTCTGCTGTGGCCTCAGGGACATAATTGTCCCCAACGCTAAGAGACATCCCAGCCCAGGCTGAGATACAGCAATGTGGGAAAGGGGAGTACTCCTAGATGATGCTCTTGGGGGCCTAGGGGAGGTGACTGGGCACCCACAGCCCCTTTGGGTGCCACCAGAGCCATGCCAGCATGACACAGAGCTTGAGTTCCACTTCCTCTCCCATGGCTGACATTGGCCCTTGAGAAGTCCCAGATGTTTTCTGGGAAGCAGTTGGAGAAGGCAGAGGCTGTGGGCTCCTTTCCTGACTCACAGCTGGTGTCTGGCCCCTGGCCTGATTCTGCTGGGACGTGGCAGGATCCCCATGGGGGTGGCAGCCTCTGGGGCTCAGCTGAGAGGTCCCCAGCTCCCAGGCTATCACTGAGATCCATACAGAAGTGGCACCAGTGACCCAGGTCAGCGTTGCCATCTGGCAATTGGTGGAAGGGAAATCTGCATGTGGCTCATCTGCATACTATGCAGATCTCAATTCTGTCACATATGTGAGATCTCTGCTTGCACGTGTCCCATGTCCCCTGGGACTGACCTCCTGGTTCAACATGACCAAGGCAGGATAAAGGTGTGGGTCAGGGTAGAGAAACCAAGGCACAGAGGGAGGTGTCACTAGCAGCCCCAGGGGAACACGGGCATAGTTACCTGTCCCCTGGCATTTGCTCAAAACATCTCTGGGTGCCCAGAGGCCCAAGTGATAGGCATGATACAGAGCAGAGCGATGTGGGGGACAGGGGGTGACGGCAGTCCAGGCATTAGGACCAGTTCTGTCCCCAGCTGGAACCAGAGATATCCCTAAGGAATCTGCCTGCCTGCTAAGCCAAAGTTTTAATGAGGGAGATAGAATTGCAAATTAATGTGTTTAATGGGGGGAGGGGGCAGTTTAGGAGGCAGCTTCAGCAGCATCTATGAAAGGGGATATGGGGAGGAGACAAGGACACAGCTTCCATTTTGGGGTCCCGTAGGGTGATGCCGTGTGTACCAGTCTCTGCAGTGGGGGATGGAGTGGCAGGTGCCCAGTGAGGGCAATGGAGCCACCCTGGGCATGGGACCATCCTGTCATGAGGTTGCCCTGGCCTGGGACCACCCTGGGTGTGGGACCATCCCAAAACATGAAACCATCTTCAAGATGGGACCAGCCTGGCATAGGGCCATGCTTCATGGGACCGCCCTTCAGCACCCTGGTGCTGAGACTACCTTGAGGATGTGCGGATGTGGAACAACTCTGGGACCACCCTAAGCACAACCCAAATGCCTGAGCCTCCCTGGTCCTGGCAAGGGCCAAGCCAGGGGAGGTAAAGTCCTGGGGTCTGGGTGTCCAAGCATGTCCCCAGGGACCCCAAATCCTCTCCTTGGTGCCATCCCTGCTGGCAGGGCCCTACTGCAGGAACTCCATCCCTTCTGCCCCACTCCTGATGACAAACTCCAGCACTGTGACCGTCCTGTTCAACAGCACCAGCCACCGCTCAGGACGAGGCTTCCTTGTGTCCTATGCCACCTCACAGCACCCAGGTATGGGGTCAGCATCCCCTGGCATGCAGAGATACCCCTGGGATGTATCCTGGCCCATGCAGGGATGTGGAGGAAGCTCCTTGCTGATCCCAGGATGAACTTCCATTGCCCTGAGCTCTCAAACTTCCATGTTCTCCCTGACTGAGGGCAAACATGGGAGACCCACAGGCCAGCTGGGACCCCTTTGAGAACCCTGAACCCCCAAGTCAAGTGGCACCCCAATATCAGGAAAAGCCACAGGCAGCATAGATTGTGCCATGGGGCCAATGGCTGCAGGGATCAAGGGGCCATCCCTCCCTGCCCCTCCAGACATAGGGGCATGAAGGGCAGAACCCAAATGAGGAGCAGGATTCGGTTGGGAATGAAGTGCCCTGAGGCAGAAAGGAATGCGTGTTGTGGGGGAGGTGGGGGTCCCTCACCCTGTGGTGTCCCTGCCTTGCAGACCTGATCTCCTGCCTGGTTCGAGGCACCCACTACACCCAGGAGCACATCAGGTGAGTGGTCGGAGTGGGGAATTGTCCCATTTTGGTGTCCCTTCCGCAAGGGGTCCCCATCAGCCCTGGTTTCATCTCCATCCCTCTCCTGACATGAAGCTCCGGTGGGATGGGGAGCAGAGTGGGTATGAAGAGGGGTTGGATGGGAGGGAGCCCTGACCCACCCCTTACCATGTGTTTCAGTGTGTACTGCCCTGCGGGCTGCAAGGACATCCATGGGGACATCTGGGGCAACCCGAACCAGGGCTACCGGGACGTAAGTGTGGGCACCATGGTACACCCACCGGGGATGGTCCCCACAGCACATGTGGCCACTGCTTGTCACCCTCAGCAACCCAGAGGTGATGAGTGTGGCCTTGAGGTGCCCCACGGGGTGCTCAGGCCTGCCGTGGGGGGCTGCCCTTACTCGCCACTCCCTGCAGACATCAGTGCTGTGCAAGGCAGCTGTGCATGCTGGGGTGATTGCGGATGAACTGGGCGGGCAGGTCACCCTGTCCCGGGAGAAGGGGATCACGCTCTATGAGTCAGCCTTTGCCAACGGGCTCCGCTCCAAAAGGTAGGTGAGGAGTGGCTGGGGCTGCACCCACATGGAGCTGCGGGACCCACCTGCACTGACACTGGGAAACTGCCACCCCTGAATTCCAGAGACCCCAGGGTTTGTTCACCCTGTATGATGCTCCCCCTCCTTTCTTCCACACAGGGGATCTCTCTCCGAGAAGCGACTTGTATTCCACAAAGGTATTTTTTTCCCATTTCCCCTGAAATTAAGGCATGATTTTAGCTGTTAGACCTGCTGCCACTCCCCTGTGCCTGGTTGGGGTTTCCGGGTTCCCAGTGTGCTGTCTCTTGTCCCCAGCTTGTGATGATGTGCTGGATGTGGTCACCTTCAATGCCTCGTCCTGGTGGCATGAGGTGGACGTCCTGGGCCAGGACCGAGCCTGGGTGGCCAAACAGGCAGCACTTAGCACCACTGGCCACTCCTGGGCAGCTGAACCTGGTGCCGAGGCTGCCTGGCTGGAGCTGGACCTGGGCACCCGAAGGAATGTCACAGGTGAGTGTTGGGCTTCAGAGGGGAACAACAGCTGCCTGTGTCCCCATGCCACCCTGACCACTGTGCTCCCACTGTGCCAGCTTCACTGATCCCCACAAAACTGCCCATGGCAGTTGCACCCCAATAATTCCCAGGATACACTGGAGTTCATTGTGCTGTAGTTTTACTGGTGCAAACTGGGATGCAGAGCACACCAGCTCTTCCGGCTGCTCCTGTCCTTCTCTTGTCCCTTTGCCCCCCTCATCTGCAGCCATTTCTGGGATGAACAAGTTAATATTATGCTCTTGCATCTGGTGCCAGTGAGTGTCTTTTGTGCAGCCTGAGCCTGCCAAAAGCAGGGGCTTTGTGTGCCAGTGGCTGGCGACCGCAGCAAGGAAAATGGGAACATTGTACGGCCAGAGGCTGGAGGAGGGGGGAATGCAGGGCTGGCAGCCAGGGCTTCAGGTTGTCAGTTTATGGGTGTAGACCAGAGCATCCCACACTGGAATCTGCCACCCAAACCCCCTCCCAGGGTTAGAAAGGATCCCCCTCTGCCAGGTGACCTTTCCTGCCCTCCTAGTCCTTTCCCAGCTCAGTCCTGAGTATCCCAGAGATAGGGGTTATTCCAGCTGGGAGTAGAGGGCAGCCCATTCCCAGCCCTGCAACCGCTGACTGACCGTGGGGAACCCCCTCCTGTATTCACAGGCATCATCACAAAGGGCTCCTCTGAGCAGCATGACTACTATGTGACATCCTACCGTGTCTCCTCTAGCCGCGACGGGAAGAATTGGAGACCCTACAGAGGCAGCAGGGGTCAGGAGGACAAGGTGGGCATGGGGAGAATATCATGGGGCTGAGACCCCCTGCCCATGGATATTTAGCCATTGACACCTTTTCACCTTCTCTGGTAGGTGTTTGAAGGAAATGCTGACAGCCAGGGGGAGGTCTCTAATGTCTTTATCCCCCCCATCATTGCCCGCTACATCCGTATCACACCACACAGCTGGCACCAACGTGTGGCCCTGAAGGTGGCCCTGGTGGGCTGCCAGCTGGCACGGGTCCGCGTGCCCCATCCCTACGGTGAGACCCTCCACAGAAGCTCACACCCCCATGTCAAAACATCCTCCTGGGGCCTTCACCACCCTGGGGGGTCCCACAGTCACAGTCCCTGCTTTGTCCTGTAGTGCCCAGTGTCCCCAAGGAGGTGCTTGAACCCACCAGCCACCCAGCCAGCCACACCCCCATCCCTGGCATCACCCTGGATCCAGAAAAGGCAGGTGGGTGCCATGGGGGAGATGTCCTTAGGGTGCAGCATTGTGTTCGAGGTGCCACTGGGGCTTCATCCCCCCCACCCCATGGGAACACATTGATTTTCCTCCTCTAGTGGCCCTAGGTGGGCTTCTGGCAGTCATGGATGCAAAGGGGTGGGATGTGGGGGCACAGGGCGCTGACACTGCCCTCCCTCCCCAGGCTCCACACTGCTGGTGATGCTGCTTATTGGTGGCTTTGTGTTCCTCTGCTCCTGCCTCCTGCTCCTGGCTTTCCTCTGCCACAGGAAGAGGTTAGTCCTGTCTTGTCCCCTGCTTTGCCCTGGGGTACTTGGCATCACCTCTCCAAATTCCAGCAGCTTCATCTAGCTGCTCACTGCGTCCCAAGGGGTGCAGCCCCTAAGGCAGTGGGTGTGAGGAGATGTGATGGTGGGCACAGGGTATCTGGCACCTCTTGCCCCATCTTGCCTCTCCCGTTGGCAGGAAATCAGCAGTGGAGCTGAACTGCGGGATCACAAAAGGTAAAAGGGTCCAGAACTCCTCCCCAAAATCGGAGGTCTGTGTGCTGTGGGGTGCAGCTGGTTTAACTGGTGCTGCTGCCAAGCTTGGACTTGTCCCATGCCCCAGGGGCACCTGCACGTCCAGGTGACAGTCTGTGACAACCGAGGGTTTCCTCTCCCTGCCCAGGGTACCCCATGCTGGAGTCCAGCCAGGTCTGCTCCCTGCAGAGCCTGCCAGCCCCCAGTCTGGTGTCCTTCACCATGGCCCCCACACCAGGGGACCTCAGCTGGACCCATTCGCCAGGTAACAGGCACTGGTCCCTCAGCCTAGAGCTGGAGTCGAATCTTCCTGATTGCACCTCTTTCTCCATTCTGGTCTGACCCCTCCTGCATCGTGGTCCTGTGCAACAAGGAGGCCCTGATAAATTAGACATGCCCATTTAATTATTATAATTTATTATAATTTATTGTAATGGCACCACACATTATTTAGTAGTAGTAGTAGTCCACCTCAATTACAGCTGTTGGCACTGGAGAGTGAATGGGGACAGCAGGAGCCACTCTCTGTGGTGTGGCAGAGGAATGTGGGGTCTCCATGGGTGGGTTCCCTGTGTTGGGTGGGTTTTGGCAGTTTTTCTATCCCTGAAAGTCCAAACATGCTCAGATTGTCAACCCAACCTCATGCACCTCTGCTGCAGCACCATGACCCTCCTGACATGGCAGCCTCTCTGTTTCAGGGTACACTGAACCAGACCTAGTGCAGGTGAGCCCCAGCAGCCAGACAGGTCCCTCCACCTTCAAGCCACTCCTGGAAGAGGGCTACACTCTACCACTGGTCCTGAACCACTATGACATCCCAGGGAAGCACCATGAGTATGCAGAGCCACTGCCGCCAGAGCCCGAGTACGCCATGCCATTCAGTGAGCTGGAGCCCACTGGGATGCGCCACAGCACTTGTATCATCGCAGGACCTGCTGGGTGCTCCCCGGTGCCGTACCAGACCCCTGCCCTGCAGCCCGGGGAGCTGCTGGCTGGGGTGGAGCGGACTGGCAGCCCCTCCTCTGAGGGGTCCTGTGGGTTGCCTAGGCACTGTCCCCTCGCACATGTGTACCACGAAGCTTTGTGAGGAGGGGAGCACAGCGGCACAATATAGGGGGGGGAGAAGGCGTGTAAAGGAAGATCTTTTTGTGCTCGCAGTGGGCTTTTTAAAAGTAATTTTATGTAAATACATGTTTAATATATAGAAATATGTGGACTGGAGTGCCCTGTACTGCCTGCTGGCTAGGGATGTGAGATGTGACCAATCCACCTAGGTCAGGGTGTTACAGTCCTTGTGCCACCTTTCCCACTGCCCGTGGTGTCAAAGCCTCCACCCTCACCAGCCGCGGAACCCCTGGCTGAGCCAGGACAATACACCGGGACACCACAAGCCCCTCGCAGCGGCAGACGCCGCTCACAGCCCGTTCGTCCTCTGCCGTTCACCGATGCCGGGGTGCCAGAACAAGCGGTTACCAGCAGCCCTCACTCACAAAAATTGTGCTTCCGAAATCTCTTGATGTCGATTCCGCGGGGGTGGCGCACGACCCCCCCCCGTGCCACACACGGCAGAAGCCCTTTTTGAGAAATGCGTTCTTCCCCACCCAAAAGGGGAAAGCGCCGGTGTGCTGGTAGGACAGGGCGACACACGCCGCGGCTACTAAACATGACGTTCGGCATATGTATTTCTTCAGCCTTCATCAACTCATTTCTTACCGCCGTTTCTTTTGTTTTCCCTCAAAAAAAGCGCCGTTTTCTCCGCTTTTTAGCTGGCCAGGGTTATGCAAATCGCGCGGGGCATGCTGGGCACACTCTTCCCTAAAGCGGCGCGGGGAGGGTGAGGGCTTTTGGCGGGAGCGCCGTGGCGCACGGGCCCGCGCAGGCGAACTCGCTCCTGATTGGCGGCGGTGCGCGCGCGCGCGGGGGACTCGCTCCCGGCCGGAAGCGGAAGCGCTGCCGGGTGTCGGCTGGCGGCGGAGCGAGCGGCGGGGACGCGGAGCGCCCGCGGGCCATGGGGAGGTACGGGGGGGCTCAAGGGGGCTGCGCGGACCACCTGGGAATTCCACACCGGCTGCTGCAAATCCGGGAGGGAACACAAGACTGAGCGCCGAGTCGGTCCCGGTGGCGGTCAGTGACCTTCGCTCTGCCTCGCGACTCCCGGCGGGGACGTTCCACACCGGGAGGGGGATTCGTTCCCATCCCGGCAGTCTCCGTGGGGTGAGCGCTTTAAGCTGCGGATGTTCAGCCTGGAGAAGAGAAGGCCCCAGGGATATTCCTAGAGCCCCTTCCAGCTGAAGGAACTCCTGGGGAGCTGAAGAGGAACTTTGGATAAGGACCTGGAGGAAAGGGAGAAGGAGAATGGCTTCCCATTGCCAGAGCACAGGGATGGTTGGGATATTAGGAAGGAATGCCTGTGAGGGTGGTGGGGCCCTGGCACAGGTTGCCCAGGTAGACTGGCTGCTTCATCTCTGGAAGTGCTGAAGACCAGGTTTCACGGGGCTTGTAGCCACCTTGGACAGTGGAAGGTGTCCCTGCCCATGGCAGGGGATGGAGTGAGATAACGTTAAAATTTCTTCTCACCCAAACCATTCTGAGATTCTATGATTGTATTTAGATATTTGGCAAAAATCGCTATGGTTAATGGAAGTGGGAGCCCCCTGAGCACTCCAGTGAATTTGCTGTTTGTCATTAACTTGGATTTTAGTTAAGGCTCTAATGCTGTGCTGTTGCAGAACTGAACACTTTGTGGTGCTGATTGCAGCACCCAAACCTCCTCTTGCCCTAGAGGGAGCTGCTGCTGTGAGGACCTGGGCTTACCTGCACATCAGCAGGTACTAGGATGCTCTGTTTCCTGGCAGAAAAATTTAGTTTGATCATATTTTTCCTCAGAATCCTGTGGGATTCTTGTCCTCTGTAGCAGCAACTGTGTGATCATTTCTGACAATGCAGTCTGTGGCACTGTAGAGTGGACAATTTGTCATACTGTGTCCTCTAACTAGCTTATATAGAATGCGTGATACAAAAAATATCTGGTGTTTCTGTAGGAATGAGAGTTATGTGAAAGAGGAGGATGCCAGAGTAGGTAATACTGACTGGTGACATTCTGGGAAGGGTGGGGGCTATGGCTTCTCCACTCACTGGGCTCACAGCAGTTGCTGATGTAATTAAAGATCTAGACACTCAGCTGTAAGTAAATGGGGCTGGCATGTGAGACTTACCTTGTGAATCTGTTCCTCCCATGAGTTTTGTGTTCAGGGATCTTAGTGGCATGTGAAGTATGCAGTAATATCTGGGAATAAACCAAGAAAATCACTTTATGCTGCTAAAGTGCTTCTGCCCAAGGATATTGGAGGTTTGTGTTGGAGGATTTTGGTGTTTCCTTCCCTGCATAGGGAAGGGTAGGAATTCCTGCTTTGTGGACCTGTGAAGTGAGGCGTAGGGTGAACATCCTGAGATCAACCACAGCTAAAGCCAAGACTGAAGGTCCCTCACAATCTTGTGCTGGACTTCTCAGCCAGAAGTGCCAGCTGAGGAGTTTAGGGTGTGAGCATAATAATTTTCCATTGTTAATTCAATTAAAATGCATCTGGAAACTTGCCAAAGGCACTGCAGAAGGGTGTCAGGGACATAAATTCCCCTCAAAGGGCTCCATGTCTGTAGGTGCATGAGTATGCATTGGAGTGAAGCACTAAAGCTTCTAAATTCTCTCATGTCCCTTCTTGTGTGGGTTTTGATATTAGTTAATCCAAACTAACCAGGCTTGTTTTGATGAAGGGAAATGTCTATTTGTAGATCAGGGAGCAGATACTGTATGTGAATGTCCCATAAAGCTGGTAAAACAAACTCTTCTTGTGAGTTCAGCCTTAGCTGATCAGCCCCACTATGAGAGGCTTTGCCATCAAACTGTTCCTTAAACTCTCTTTCCTATGACAGACCCATCGATGCTACCCAAGGTGGTTATGGTAGTAGAAGGTGCAGGGTTTGGATGCATTTCCTGTTGTGGAGGAGTGAAGATGGAGCAAAACTTCATTGAGCATAAGGCTTAGAGCAGAAACAGAGGAGGTGCCAGTCAGTGTTCACCCCATGACCAACAGCCTGAGTAACTTCAGCACCTGGAGCATCTGTGTAACCACACAATCCACTTGCAGTTCACTGCTGGGTGAACTCCCTCTCCATTTCCTGTGGCTGTCAATTGCCCAGTGTGGACAGATTGTGTTCTCAGAATACAAAATGAACCAATGTTGTCAATCCCACATGGAGAGGTTACTATAGGTCAGGCTGTGAGCGTGATGCTTCCAAAAGTGAGATCCCAGGGAGGCTGGGTCCTGCTTTCTATCCAGGGCTCTGGATTGTGGGGATGAAGGATTCCATGCTGCTGCAGCAGGAACAAGCCATGTCCTGCAGTTAAATCTGCTCTGAGTGGTCTGTTCTTTGTGGGAAAAGGGTTCAGGAAGGCTGTGTGAGGTGGATGTGGAGGGGTTCAGCTCAAGGGATGAATGGGTGGGTGGGTCAATGCTGCTGTCACCAGCATGCAGCCACTGTGATGCTGAAAAATTTAATTTTCTGTACACCAGGGAAGGTTTTCTCTGCTACTAAGCATCACTTCTCCCTTCATCCTGTGAGCAGAGATTTCTTATTTATAAACTGCAGGGCCTGTCAGAACACTGCAATTTTCTCTGGACAAAGACCTGTTCACCCTGCTGAATTCCTGCTATTTACTAACTGTGGCTTTCCTCTCCCTTTCCAGTTGATTGGTTTGGATCCCCACAACCCCAAGAAGAAGCAGGACCTAGACAAGCTTTATGATTTAAAAGCTAAAGCCCAACAGATTATGAACCAGTTTGGCCCTTCTGCCTTGATCAACCTCTCCAACTTCTCCTCGATCAAGCCAGAACCAGGCAGCACCCCCCCACAGAGCTCCATGGCCAACAGCACCACTGTGGCAAAGATGCCAGGGACGCCCAGTGGAGGAGGGCGGCTCAGTCCTGAAAGCAACCAGGTAATTCCATCCCGACTTTGGGACAATAGGGATGATGCTTGGGCATCACAATTATCACAGATTTGCCTGTGGCTTCATTCGCCTTCTTTAAATCACCAGCAGAAATATAATGTTTATTAAATTATCAGTTTCTGAGTGAACAAAACTTCCTTACAGAGTTCCTCTCTCCCAGGTGCTTCCTGACTGGATGGGGTTTGGATGCTGTAGGTGTAGAGCTTTTTCCAGTCTTAGGAAAGTGTATATTGGGGTGTGACAGGGGAAGTTATTTTTAAATGAGGTTATAGATGGGAAAAATGTGGGGAGAATTGGGTGGTGAGGTGAAGGTTGCCCAGAGAAGCTGTGGCTATCCCATCCCTGAGAGTGTCCAAGACCAGGCTTGGAGCAGCCTGGGATAGTGGAAGGTGTCCCTGCCCATGGCAGGGGGTGGAATGGGATGAGCTTTAATGTCCCTTCCAACTCAACCTCGAATGGAGCCTTTGATGTACATAAACCAAACTGCTGCCTAGGGAATGCTCCAGCATTGCTCTCTAATGGCTTTGCTGGCACCCAGACTCTTAGGAAGTGCACTAAACCCTAGCATGAAACAGCCACAGCAGTGAAGGAATGAGGAAGGGCAGGAATTTCCCATCTGTGTCTGGTTGACCGACCAGGCTGACAACTTCCATCCATATCTTTTAAGACTTAGCATCCTGTTGTTCAGCCCAGTGTGGTTTCTGCTCCTGCCACATCTGACTGCCCTGGAATAACCCAGCACTCCCACAACTCTGTTTTCCATGTGAGGCACTAAAGCTGATAAGTGCTAGAGCCATGGAAATGCTTCCCCCATGCCCTGGGCACAACTTTAGTCACTGCTATGCTGATTGCACTTGCTGTCTGCATCTTAACACTTGTAGTTTTGCCTTTTCACTCCTTGCCAGCAGCATTTTTTTTCTGGAAACATTTATTCTGGCTGCTACACTCCAGTTGCTGTCCAGAGCAACCACTGGTGCTTGAAAATTACTCCTCAACACCCGATATTTCTTATCTCTGCCATTCCTGAGCTGATAGACTGTGTCAATAGTGTGACTCGGCCCTGGGGGCATGGGGGAGGAGATGGTTGTGGTTGTGGTTGTGCTCCACCGGCAGCTTCTTTGCTGGAGCAGGGCAGTAAATCCTTCCTCTCCTCCTACACGCTCAGGTTTTAACCAAGAAGAAATTGCAGGACCTGGTGCGTGAGGTGGATCCG